CTACATATACAACAAGTCCAGGTGCATCGCGCGGGCAATGAAAACTAGTAGTTCACATAAGTCTGATCATAACAACAAACAAGACCCATAATAGTTCATATTGTCACTTCTCTCAAATATCAATAAAACTTGTCCAAAAAACAAAATGATGTCTCACATGACGATCACTCTAGAAGCTTTACTTCTTCTCCATCAGCCTTCACAATCTTCAACATCCTCATATGTATAATTAATCAGTGAAAAAAAGAAAATGATAAGAAAAAGAGAGTAACCAAATAGCAAAAATATTAAAGTTCATTTTCCCCTTACCCATTTGGTATCCTCGTATTGAATTAAAAGTTGTCATAACGACTTCAAGAGTATTAGACAAAATTGAATTCCTCAATTTTGTTAATACTCTACCTCCAAAACTAAAAGATGAGGATGCAACTAATGAATTGGAATAAAAAGTAAATCCTTTGCCAGCCTAAATAGGCGAGAAAACAAAATTGATAGTCCTTCCAATATTGCAAGACATCATAAGTAAAAAAAAACATCATAGGGACTCCACCAATGTCTCCAAAGGTAGGTATCAAATGATCCACCAAATATAATTGCAACTCAGATTTAGTTGACGTGTTATGGTTTGATATTAGAAGCATAAAAACCCTATAAAAGCCATAGACACGACACTTCGACTAGCTAAAGTGGCCGATTGAGTTTTATACTTTTCCAAAAGCAGCTCTAAATCATCCACAACATTCTTAGATTTTGAAACATGTTCTCCACCCAACTTTTCACAGAAAACTTCACAAAAGCAACTTTATAACGAGGATCCAAAATGACTCCAAAAGCAAGCACCAAGTTGCAGTCTTTCCAATAGTTTAAGAATTTTGACATCATCGCGTTTCCCATATCATGCCTATCATCCTCTACACTTGTACAAGGTGCCTCCTTTCAAGATGAATCTTCCAAATATTCTCAAAAAATAAATAACTTGTTGGGAGCTTAGTTTCAGTGAATAATTACTTGACTTCATCAAATGGCTTTAAGAATTTTGCAAGCACTTTCATCTTCTCAATCTTGAGATTATGGGCATTCCTTATACTTATTACCCATCATTTCTAAGTTTATAAATGCTTGACGTAATAAATTGTCCTCTCAAGCATATCATAAGTTGAATTCCATCTTATTGGCACATCAAGCCACAAAGATCTTGTTTGTTTCATCCCACTTTGTTCAACACATTCATAAAACTTAATTTTCCTTCTTTCGGATCCTTCTACATTTTTTACACTTTCTCTTAGAGATCTAGTGCCATAATAAGATTCAATCTATCTTGAATAGTAAGACCACATCAATTTCAATGAACTATAGTTTGAAGCAATACAACTGTGATCCTAAGTGTGAGACAACTACTTTACATAGACATTTTAGTATATGTATTGAGAGGATCAATGTTCAAAACTAAATAAGATTTTCATGTTTCAAATATTTAGTTATGTACGATGTATTGAAAACTTAAACTTCTAGTCAAATAAATGATTTTTTATGCAAGTTATATTTGAATCTCTTGGAGTTGTACTAGAGTACACCACTTAATTCCATCACTTGAGTGTTTGTGATAGACGGTTAGTTAGTTATTCTCAATTTTCTTTGTGATTTTACTTACATGTTTTGTGATACACTCTCTAATTTGTGGCCATATTGAATGAAATATTCAAAATGTTGAAATACCATAATATACTTTACCAATTGCGATTAATTACACACCAAGTTTACAAGTCATACAAATTGATTCAACACTTTTGACAAATTTTTTTAACTTTTATAAGTACATATATGAAGTATAAGAAATTGGCTAAAAATTATAAAAAATAATTTAAATTAGTTTAATAAAATGTTCAAATTGTAGTAACGAGTAAGAAGTAAGTAACTCGATGCGCTAAACCCGAAGAACCCATAACCAGACTTGCCCGCTACCTGCCCGACCCAAAACCCTATCAACCCATAAAGTGTTGAACCTATAACCTGATTTGCCCACAATCCGATGAACCCATAACCCGATTGACTCGCAATCCGATGAACCCTTAACCCGATTGGCCCGCAACTTGAGTAATGCCCAACACAAATGACTAGAAACCTGATAAATCCGCAACCCGAATAACCCACAACCCGAACCCCAAACCCAACTAATCTGCAACCCGATTGAACCCAGCTCGAACACGCCCAGTTGACACCTCTAACTCGCAAGCTACTAGCCTACCTTCGAACACATATGAATTAGGTGGCTTTATTTTCAAAACATCGCTCTTATTATCAAGGAGAAGGGAGTCATATGTAGGGGGTGTGCAATTGTTCAGTCTGTACTAAATAGCACCAGACCATACCGATGTTTGGATCGAACCATACCTAACCAAATATAATATGGTCCGGTTTTTGGATCGCATGAGTTTTAGAAATATCGAAGAAAAATGAAAATAATTGACAGTTGGACCAGACCAAACTGGATCAAATCAAATCAAACCAAATGCAATGTTGGTTTTTTTATGGTTAATCAAAAATTGCATTAAGGCCCGAAGAAGTGCAACTCGCAACTTTTCTCTCAAAAAGTAACTTTGCTATTACAAGCTAAACTTCATAACCCAATAGAAACGTAAAATAACATACTAAACTGCAAACTCTACTTCAGGCTTTCAAAACTTTCTGTACTCTCATCTGGTAAGGGATTTGTCCACTGGCAAATATAAGGAACTCCTTCATAAATTTCTGGGCAACTTGAGACGGAGAATTGGCAGCCACACCTCCATACAGTCTCGCACATCTCTCCTTCATATAATGCTGACTCCCATGATCCATAACACCCTTCCAACTGTTGCTTTATCAGAGGACTGCGACCAGACTTTCTCAGCCCAATCCATATGCACTTTCCAATCAACAAACAAAGGAAACACACATATATCTTTCAGAATCAGCCGTAACACCTCTCTACCAAAAGAGCAAGACCCAAACAAATAGTCTCTACTCTCAAATCCCCCTAGACATAGTACACAATATCCATCACAATTAACCCCCCAACCAATCATCTTATCCCTTGTGCGGATCCTTTCCAAAATAATCAACCACAGCAGCACACAATGTTTAGGATATACATGCTTGCTCCAAACAACATGAGCCCATGAAACTGCAGGCAAAGGAACTCTAATCGACCACCATACCTGCTTAACGGAATATCGAGAAACCAAACCATCCCAAGCCAAATTCACCCCCCTCCAGTGATGTGCTGTTGCGCCACCTGCCTGCATTTGAGTATTTTCTTCCAAACCCATGTACTAACAGTGCTAACAGGGAGAGACCATATCTTTCTCCCCTTAATCCTATACTTGTTCATCCACGCCACCCACAATGAGCCTGACTCTGCAAGGATATTCCACAAATGACGAATAACACAAGCTTTATTCCAAGTTTTAGAGTCTCTAATACCCAACCCCCCTTCCTGCCTCGGTAGAGCTACCTGTGACCAAGCAGTAGGAGCCTTCTTCCTCTTATCACCATCCACGCCCCACAAGAATCTATTGCAAACCATCTCAATCATCTTAAGCACCTTTAATGGAAGTAAAAAGATCGACATCCAATACCGGAACACACTTGTGATTACTAGGGATGGCAATCAAACCCATGGTCGCGGGTACCCGACCGCCCCCGACCCAGTCAACGCGGGGAATCCCCGCTTTGACCGGGTATGGGGCGGGTATGGGTAAAACCCGCAAAAAGTTTGATGGGTATGGGGCGGTTATGGTTTTAGCCTTCCCCGCCCCATACCCATACCCATACCCGCCCCACCAAGAGCATTTCTTCACATATAAAAAAATATGTGGATTAAATTGTAATCTATCAATGATGATGATGATAACTCGAGAAAATAAATAGTAGAAATGCAATTGAGTAACCACCTTAATCAAAACCTAATTCATTTCCGTCAATTCTCCTTCCACTCTTTCACTTCCCCCTTATCAACAAGATTATGTTAGTTAATTATTACTTAGTAAATGTATCAAGAGTTAGAGCATAATAATTTAAAAAATATTGTAGTCTATATTATGTATTAATGGATGTTTTAGGATCATATTCTTTGAATCGTATTTAGAAAATGACCGTGTTTTGTTGACTTCATGATATAATAGGTATGTTTATGGTTATAATTAAAACTTTTCTTGTAAGTTTTAGGTATAATAATGTTGGATGTATGGGGATGGGTATTACCCATGGGTACCCGAAACCCACGGGTATGGGGATGGGTTTGCAAAACATTCCCCCGCATGGGTATGGGGCGGGTATAGGGAATGAAAAGAGAAATAACACTTGTATATTAGTGTTCACTAAACTCCATTAGTAATAGGTCTTTAAAGTAAATCAATGTGGATTTGGCCCAAGTTGGACAATATATATCGTACTAAAATGGAGCTATCTGGTTTTGACAAGTGGTATGAGAGCCTCACAATGGAAATATACATATGGTAAATCCTTGTATTATATATTAGTGTCCGCTGAGCTCCATTACGCAATTCCAAAAGTAAATTAGTGCGGATTTGATCCAAGACGGCAACATCATACTAATGAAGCTATCAGTTGCTGTAACTAATATATGAGCCAAGTTCAAATAATCTACCAAATAATTTGACTGGTACATCTAATAGTCTCCCTCGTGCGTGTGAACAGATTGACTGTAAGCATGGACTAACAATTAAAAATCTGGAGCCATGTTTATGACTCTGTACACAACTTGAGAATTGATCTTGTCAAACTAGCAGGCAGCTCTATTTCTGAGGGAATTGTTCAAGATCGTACCGTCGTTGGTTACTTATATAGATATCCATCCACCGCGGTTATACATATTAAGCATGCGCGCATGATGGCTTTCAAGAGAAGTAATGCTTGGCTCCTGATCCTCTTCGTTTCTACCCTTCGGTTAGCTAATAATTCACATCATCATCAAGTAGTTGCAACACGGTCAATCTTGGGTAGCGTTTCTTCCTCATCCATGCATGATCATCGTGCTCGTAAGTCATGTGCTCTATTTCTCTTTGATTTTTATTTCCTGTAAGCCAATGAGATTCAAGTTTACGAAATGAGGTTTTTCAAAAGTTTCAGAGGGAAGGCTTGAAGAGCAGAGGATGATGACGATGAAGAGTAAGACTCACACCACTAGGATTCTGCAGAGGGTGCCTTCACGCAGCGATGGCCCTCATAAGGGAAACTATTGATTCTCCATATGCGTTGTCGATCAGTACCAACCACCCTTTAGCTTTGATTGGTTCAAAGTCATGAAACCAAGATGGAGAGTGTCTTGCCCGGCCGGTTTTGGAAAGGAAGATGACGTTTCCTCTTACTTTTTTTTTGGGCCATAGGATGTTTCCTCTTAGTTAGGGTTTACAAACCTTTCTATGACGATGAATAGCTTTTATATTGTGTTTCCTTTACTTTATGCATAGATTCTTGGGTAGACCTGAATAATTATTTTGTTCTGAGTTAGATTTGTGTTAGTGGGATAGCTTGGAATAATGAGAAAGCATATATGTACAGGCACGATTCAAAGTAAACCGACGCTAGTCTTGACATCATCAAAACATTTACCCACTCTTTTGTTGAAAGGAGGCTAAATTACTTTGGCAATCGGGTCGGGTTGGGTAATTTCCGGTTGGAGACTCTGATTATGGGTCGGGTCATGTTGAATTGGTTGATTTTGGATCAAATATTGACCCAACCCATTTAGCTTCGGGTCGGGTTACAGGTTGTTTCAGGTTATGAGCGTTCTCAGAAACAATATTAAACATGCTTCATATTTTTTTTAAAAACACAAATTTTCATATATGCATGATAATAGTTTACCTAACACATGTTAATTAACATATTCTTAAATGGCTAAATTACACGTGGCTGCAGATCAGAAACGGATCCAATATTTGGATTGTGGTTTGGGAGCAGAACGCCATAAATAGGGAAAGCGCGATAGAGGAATTGAGGGTCCTGCGCGAAGCCTTGGTTGAGTACTTTGTGGCTGATTATGAGGACATATGCTCCAGAAGTTTCAAAGTGTTCGCAATTTCATGAAAGGGTTCAACCGGGCCGAGAGAAGGTTTCACGCCGGCGAACTACTTCTCACAGCCGCCTCCGCCGTCTTGCCTCACCCAGAAGGAAGAGCTCGCCGTCATGGTCGTCGCACTTAGGAACACTGTATCCGGAACCACCAATTCAGCTTGCGCTCACGAATTGCTCCGATTCCCATTCAATCTAGCAGCGTCGGTGCCGGTTTCGGAGCAGCTCCTATCCGTGAGGTTGGAGTAACAACAGCTGGCTATAAGGGAGTGGCTGGGAACATTTGACACCGCGGCGCGGAGGACGCGACACGGGCTTACGATAGAGCGGCGATCGAGTTCCGGGGGCCGCGAGCCAAGCTCAATTTCTCTTTCCCTGGTCATATTCAGATTGCTGGAAGCTGGAGTTCAATCAAATGGCGGGATCGGAAAAGGCGAAAGGTAGGTGTGTGAGAGAAGAAATATCGAAGGTGGAGGAGATGGCGATTGATGGCAATGGGATCAGAAGTAGTAGTGAAATGGCGAGCGGAGAACAAAAAGAGTTTCATGAATGGATTTCTTCGACGGGGACTCTTCGGATTCCGCCGGCATGTCGGGAATTTGTGATGTGAAATAATGTCTAGCGGTGTGATGGAAGGAGAAGGAATATATAGTCTAACGCTGATGGAAGGGGAAGGAAGAGAAAGTATTTTAGGCCGATCTCGTGCTGTAATGTTTTATACAAAGCCATTGCTAAACTGCTTGCTAATAGAATGGCGATTGTGCTTCCAAATCTTATTAGTCCTGCCCAATCTGCGTTTGTCAAGGGTAGGTTAATTAGTGATAATATTTTGATGGCATCAGAGTTAGTTAAAGATTATCATAGGTCTTCCATCACTTCTCGTTGCGTAGTGAAGATAGACCTTATGAAGGCCTTCGACTCGTTTCCTGTTTCGAGTAATGGAGGCTATGGGTTTCCCCTCTGTTTATACTGACTTGGTTTGAACCTGTGTGACTTCGCCTAGTTTTAGGGTCGCTTTTAATGGAGGACTCTGTGGATCGTTCTGTGCAGCAAAGGGCTTAAGGCAAGGGGATCCTCTGTCCCCTTGCCTTTTTGCCATTTCAATGGAAATATTCTCTTGTTTGTTGCACAAGGCTGCCATAGATAACCAGGTTCCTTACCACCCCCGCTATAAGAAGTTAGACATAACACATCTGTGCTTTGCAGATGACTTGTTAGTTTTTTTGAACGGGTCAGTAAGAGCTGTGGTAGGCATTAGACGTGTACTAGAGGAGTTTTACAGGATCTCTGGTCTTAAGTGCAACCCTGAGAAAAGCCAGCTGTTTTGTGCGGGAATTTCCGAGGAGGAGAAATTGTTCATCTCGGCTTGTACAGGTTTTCCTCTTGCAAGTCTTCCTGTCCGCTATCTGGGTGTTCCTTTTATTTCAGGGAAGCTTGGTAAGGTCGATTGTCAAGTCTTGGTGGATAAAATCACTACTCGTGTTAGGGGTTGGCAGGCAAAAACACTTAGCTATGCAGGGAAGGTGCAGTTGATTTCCTCAGTTATTTCTAGTGTCTTGCAGTTCTGGATGAATATTTTTGTCTTACCAGCTGCGGTCCTGAAGGAAATTGAGCGCATTTGTAACGATTTCTTATGGGGTGTGGGTGATGGGGGCACTAGAACTAGAGCTATGGCTTCTTGGAAGTTTGCAGTGTTGTTGAAAACTGAAGGGGGGTTAGGGATTAAAGATTTTCGATTGTGGAATAAGGCCTGTGTTATTCATCACCTGTGGTCGTTGCTTGCCTGTAGTGGTTCTATCTGGGTGGCATGGACGAGGACCTATCGTCTGAAATCCAAGTCCATCTGGGAAGTGTCTGCTACTTCTGTGGGTTCTTGGGTTTGGAAACACATTCTAAAGCTTAGAACGATTGGTCGTGACTTCATTACAGGGGCCTCTGACTCTTTAAAGTGGGATGGTGATTGTATGCCACGTTACTCAGTAACTAGGGTGTGGAGAAGTGTTAGGGGGGCTCACCCTCAGGTTAGCTGGGCAGAGCTGATTTGGGGGAAGTTTGTCATCCCCAAATACAGCGTCTTGTCCTGGATGATTACTCAGAACAAGATTACAGCTGCTGACAAGTTAATCAAGTGGGGGAAGGCACTTCAGGGCTGGTGTGTGCTGTGTGTGGGTGGTTTGGACTGTCGTGATCATTTGTTTGGGGGGTGTCCGTTTTTCCATCTCATCTTGCAGGCTGTGTTCTCTGAGGCTCCTTCACTGGCGTTTGCTGACTGGAATTCCACACTGAGTTGGGCTCTAGGGATGTGGAAGGGGACCTCGGACCACAAGAAAGTTGGCAGGCTGCTGTGGAGACTAGTGATTGCTCATGTGTGGAAAGTGCATTGTAGTAGATGGTATGGCGAGGGTGGCATCTGCACTCCGCAGCGTATTGTGGCTCAGATTCGGTTTGAAATACACTGTGTTGGCTTGGTTCATCCGCAGATTGTTCCCATTATAGAAAGTTTTTTCACAGGTTATAGAGGTTGTTAGTATAGAGGTTGAGCAGGTGCAGTATAGAAATATTGTAAAACTTGGTCTATTTTTTAGAGGATCCCGCGTATTGGGTTATCCTGGGGCTTAATGAGAATTTTTTGATTTTCATAAAAACAATAATAATAAAATCAAGTGATGAAAAAGTATCACGTTTAAATAAATTATAATGTGAAAATTAACTTACATTACATAATATTTGTGTACTGCAATTTTTTTGACAAAGGATCATTTCATTAAGAAGGGGTTAATTGCATGGTTGGTCACTGAGATTACAAAAAACGTTCATGTTTGATCACTAGAAATATTTAAATCCAATCTTGGTCACTAAAATTAGTTAAATGATTTAAGTTTGGTCACTCTCCGTCCAACTCCGTTAAATTTGTCTGATGTGGCAGTCAACACTCAAAGTTGACCGTTAACTCAGTGACGTGGCAATTTAAAAATAATAAATAAAATAAATTTTAATTTTCTACCATTTCCAACTTATTTTCACAATAAAGTAAAATAAAGAAAATAAAAAATATTATAATTACAAATTGAAAAGGGGTGCTTCCTCCGCCACTACATCCCTTCCCCACAACAAAACCAGCTCCCAATTCCCATCCCGAGCTCCGCCCGCTGCCGCCGTCCCCGCCACTCCCCGACCATAATCACCTGCACCTCCTCCACACTCGAGCCAGCCCCTTGCCTTGAATAAGAAGGGGAGATCGACCCCCACTTATCCAAAACCTTCTCACCGAGGACGGAAGGGTTCTTAACAATCCAATCTTTCAAACTCAATTTGGAGTGAGGGTGGGAGTCAATAGCGGCACCATTCCCATCTAGAACTCAGCATAGGGTTTGTTGAGTTGGATCTCGGAGCCAGAATTCAAAGCATAGACCTTCCCGACCAGGGAATCCTGTCCCATTCTACCCCAATCATAGTGCTGGATAGAGCACCTCATGCGGAGGAGGGGGCAGTGGTTCTTGACGAATTCAAAAGAATCCATGGAACTCAACTTTGGAAATCGAAGAACGAAGGAAGTGTGAGGGAGTGAACATAATTGGAACTCAGAAGTAAAGGGTGGTTGGGGGTTCTCAGAGCAATGGGGGAAGAGCAAGGGTAGTGGGTGTGGTTATAAAGACGGAGGATTGGGATTCAGTGGCCATTAAGGATTTGTGCAGGGAGAGGAAGTTGAGTGCTATTGTTGGTAAAATCAAGCAGGCTTATAGAGAGGAATGAGAATGTGGGGAAGAGAAGGGAGAGACTTGAGGAAGAAACAAAGGAGAAGGGAACTTGAGGAAAAAGAAGAATGAAGGTTGTCGTCCGATTCTCTAATTCTGATGCGATGAGAGGAATTGATTGCAGGAAGCAGAGTCTTCTTCTTCTTCTTCTTCATCTTCTTCTTCTATGGTTACCGTCCGCAACGCCTTTTATACCTGTAAAAGAATATCGCCCGTGATTATTGCCGTGAACGGCTAGGACGCTGGCAGGGGGCGGAGCTAGGATGAGGAATTGGGAGTTGATTTGATTGCGGGGAAGGGATGTGGTGGCGGAGGAGGAAGCTACCCTTCAATTTGTAACTATAATAATTTTTTTTTGTTTTATTTATTTTACTTTATTTTGACAATGAGTTAGAAATAGTAGAAGATGAAAATTTATTTTATTTATTATTTTTAAATTGCCACGACATTAAGTTGACGATCAACTTTGAGGGTTGACTGCCACATAAGACAAATTTAACAGAGTTGGATGGAGAGTGACCAAACTTGAACAATTTAACTAATTTGAGTGACCAAGATTGAATTTAAATATTTACAGTAACCAAACATGAACGATTTTTGTAATCTTAGTGACCAACCATGCAATTAACCTCATTAAGAAGTAATGGACCAAGACTAGAGGAAAAGGTTACAAGACCACAGAATTAGGAAAAACTAAAAACACAACCTGAAGGCCAAACACGGCCAGCTTCCCAATAGGGCCTAGCCCAGGCCCCAGCCCAACAAGGAGTCAAGCTCTTGATCTCCTCGACCATGTATTCATCCCTGGACCAACCTTCTATCTTCAAGCTTTTCGATCCGCGTCCAAGCCATTGGCCTACATTTCCGAAAATGTGTAATGCAATTTGCTGTATATTGAATATTGCATGTAATACTAAATGAATTTTAGTTGATAATAAAATAATTAAGTTATAAAAAGTATCATATTTTAAAAATGAATTTTTAGAATACATATAACCTTTGTATAATGCAAATATAAGACAATCAACGATTCCGTTAATAATATACGAATTGCATTTCAAACTTATATTATGGAAGACTTAAGTAATATGTTAGTGTGAGTGATACATAAAAAATGTCATCCATCCTTAAGTTTTATATAATTTCTTAATGATTACAAAAGATTTATGTAATGTTTTTGGTTTAATTGATACATATGAAATAAGTATCTCTTCCTAAATATTACACAATATAATTGTGTTTTAGGGAAATATTATAGAAAAGGATTACGTAAATCTTTCGTAATATGCGATCTAATAATAAAATCAAACTATGGAAATTATCACATTGATTAAACTATAGTGTAAAAGTCAACCTATATTGTAGAACCTTTGTGTAATGCAAATTGATATAAGTAAAATTAGTATTATGAAAATCAATACATTTGATTAAACTGGTATGCAATAAATAACAGGTCTGACAAAACATTTGTGTAATGCGAATTGATCAGATTCTCAACCGTTTAGTTAATAATTCCATTCAAACTTATAATAAAGGGCTTTATGGCAAAGTTTTGTGAGGGGATACAAAACAAAAATTATCAAGACATATGAGTATGGGGAAAAAATACTTATGTATAACAACTAGGACTTTGCTACGGTGACATGCATGTCACGGTGACATGCACTTTTCGGTCGACCTCATATAGGATTAGGTCGACCTAATCTGTTGTTTCAGTGTAAAAACAGTTTCGTGTTGCCTACTTTGGAGATTCATATCTTACAATTGGCTAGATGGAAATTGGAGATTAAAGGCTTGTTTTGAAGCTGAAGTGTCCCTCTACACATTAAAGTACTTGGGAGCTCAATAGAAAGTCCAGAAGACCATTTTTGAACTTGACCAAAAGGCTATGCCAAAACTGGGAAACTGCCTAAAAATGGTTAAGTCTGGCAACGTGTTTGTCAAGCCTACTTTGGAGCTCAATTTGAGAAGCATGGATGCGAGTCAAGTTCAGAGGCCTCTACCACGTTAAATTAAGTATTTTTTTATACAAAGGCAAGGCATTGGATGAAAGATTGAATATCTTTAAGGCTTCAAACAAAAGGCTCGAAGTTGCTACGAAGGCTGTTTTTCTGGCAGCTTGCTTGTGCTCGAAGTCTGCCAGAAAAACAGCCTTTGTAGCAACTTCGACCCTTTTGTTTGAAGCCTTACAGTTATCCAATCTTTCATCCAATGCCTTGAATTTGTATAAAAGCATACCTAATTTAACGTGGTAGAGGCTCCTGGACACGACTCGCATTCATGCTTCTCGAATTGAGCTCCAAAATAGGCTTCACAAACACGTTTCAAGACTTAGCCATTTCCAGCCAGTTTCCCAGTTTTGGCATAGCCTTTTGATGAGGTTCAAAAATGGTCTTCTGGACTTCCTATCGAGCTCTCAATCACTTCAATATGTAGAGGGACACTCCAGCTTCAAAACAAGTCATTAGTCTTCAATTTCCATCTAGCCAATTGTATGATATGAATATCCAAAGTAGGCACCATGAACTATTGTTACACTGAAACAACATATTAGGTCGACCTGTTCCTATATGAGGTCGACCGGATCCTATATGAGGTCGACCTAATCCTAATTGAGGTCGACCGGAAAGTGCAAGTCACCGTGACATGCATGTCACCGTAGGCACACCCTTCATCCGTAAACTCTGCGAATATATTTTTAGTTTACTTAACTATCATTGAACATTGTAAATCTTTCGTAATATGTGATCTAATAATTATATATGTAAGTGATAATTTACACGCGGAAACCTTTGCGTAATAGAAAAAGTAAATACTAATCATTAGCCGAATCTTTCCCACACAACTTTCATACATATAGTATGGATGGAAGTATCACGATGATATGAATAAATCATAGGGGCCATTTGGAGAACGAGATTTAGGGCGTGGATTCATTGAATCCGTAGATTTTGTAGAAAGTTATGTTTTTTGTTGCTTTTTGTATTGTGGATTTTAGCTTTAGATATATGAAATCTCTAAAATCTACGGATATCAAATCTCTCATAATAAGAGAGATTCTATATCTTGATTCGTGAGATTTTTTTTCCTCCAACATTTTCTCTTTCCTTTATTTATTTATCATATTAAATATATTTATCTACAAAAATTTTAATATTTCTCGAACTACTCTAATTTTTTATTAAGGATAAACATGTTATTTAATATAAATTTTATTTTTATTTTCATTGAACGTTAACAATCACAGTTACCAAACAATAAACATTTTCAAATCTATTTTCAACAATCCAAAGCGTTAGAATTTTTAGATGTTCACAATCTATAAATTTAAACTCATATTCTCCAAACCACCCATAATGTAGAATGATTGTATAACCAGATATTAAGCACTTAAGCCCATTCTCGGTGGGGCTCGTAATCATAAGAGACACACATGCAGATCAGATACATACATCCAAAAAAAAAAAAAAAAGTTGGAATAATTGAGTCAATTAATCAGTTTTGTTCCTAGCAGGCGTAAATGATGACTTTCTGTAAACCTATCATATAGTGGGCATGGAGCAAGCGAGACCCACCACTGATATACATATGACTTTCTGGTTACCACTTGCAAGTCAAAGCGGCTAGCTATAGGGGAAGGGAATGATGAACATGTACAGTTGACTGGGAAGACTTAGAAACCTCTATAAATGAAGGCGCCATTAATCATCCCAAATATTATAAGTGAGCGACCGATCCATCGAAATATGGTTTGTTCTAAGAACACCATCGCTGGCTGGAAACTGGTGGTGGCAGTGGCGGTGATGATCGTGTTCGTACTTCTCTCGTCAACCCCAGCAATGGCTTCCAGAGTCCTACTGGAAGTTGGAGTCGTCAAACCAGATGGCTGTAAGTCGTCTTAATTACCCTCCTCGTCCTCGTAACTATTCATGCTATATGTGTGTGCAACTTGCAAGCAAATTAATATACGTACGCCTGCAGCCCTAAATCTAATCTCCGTTGTTTATGATCAGGGGATTGGCCACACGGAGGAGGTTACCATCCACCAGGCCAGAAGGATTGAAGAGCCCAAAGAAAAGATGCTTTCATCGATGCACTCTTAGCTTGCTGCATACCGCTAAGGCCAGCCATGGTGATCATATATTACATATGTCGATGTTGTTTTCTCGTAGTAACTTTTGGTGTAATAATTTCCGCATACTATGCGTTTTGCTATTGTGGTAACTGTGTTTATTTTAATTCGATGTTACTTGAACTTTGTATGTACTTTTGTTGTTTATTGTGTTGTTGTCCAACTTCTATACATGTACGGTGTACCAGTGCTCTTGTTCTACTACGTCCGTCGTGTGATGAATAACATGTTACGGGAGTTTATGAGATTGGAGAGGTGGGATTGGTGGGAGAACAGGAGGAACGAACGGAGAAGGAGAGCGAGGGAGCTGGCTAGGTTTGGGCAAATCTTCCTTGATTTGATTCATAATTATTCCCAAATCGAACTACAAGAATACTTGTACAATTCAGCTTTATTAGGATTGGGTTGGGAGCACCAACTAGGATTGGTGTATATGGTGCACCCACCCAATCCCGTCCTGCCACATGTCCTGTAATTATTAGCATCCAAAATTAAAACTAAGAAATCCTATTCTCTTTCTTAGTGCGGTGCTGCTTTTGCGCTGCTGACCTCTGTTTAAATTAATTAATTAAATACACTCACTCCTTTAAAGATTAAACAACTCAATGTTAAATCTTGAGAAATAAAAATTCGACTAAAGCTTAAAAGGTATTAGCTAGTTAAATATTCCGTTTAATATGCATATACATGTACGTACTATATATGCGAAAAATTATATATTCGTATTATTGTCGAGCCATTTATTTTTTTCATATATTTGATGGTTCTTGTACTACACAATACAAAATCCATATAACAAGTTTTATATCCTTATTTAATGAATTAAATTGCTAAATTAAATATTATTTAGAAATTTTTTTATTTGTAAATAATTAAATATATATTTTTATGATTAATAACCTACTATTAAATGTACCACTATTTTAGAAATAAAGTAAAATACTCATTTGTATTTTGTACGTAACCTACCCGTACCGTATTTTACTAATTATGTTCATCACCGATCTTCGGGGAGTTCCCGGTCTACAACATGAAAATATCGATTTTGAACTATCATACGTCGACACCTCATTGAAGTTTTCATGACCTGATACTACATAAAAAAATCCTTTGTAACTACAATTTTACCACGACAATTTTGAAAATGTCGTTCAAATGTGAAAGATAAATAGTTGTGTTATCATTTATCTGATATCGAGAAATCATATTTAATAGCAAAACATAATACGATAGGTTTTTCAAATGTCGGTTTAGTAGTATCGACATTTATTGAAAGCTCCACTTCAGCGTGACCGGATCCCGATTGAAGTTTCTGGTGCATAGTTACTGCCACAGGTACTGTCTTCCTAACCCGTATTAGTTCATCTGCTTTGCATAATTTTGACTATTCATTTTATTCCTCATTGCATGATACTGCTGGTTTCTAATATGGTTCCTTAATTTAAGATTTTCATTGGACAATACAAGAAAAGAAGGGATCACAACAACTAATTTATAACTAAAATAAAGATTGCATAAAAAAGGGGAAAGAAAGAAAGAACTATAATCGGTAAGTCTCCGCAAAGGCCGCACCGCAGCCGAGAAAGAGAATAGAGTTTTAGTTTTAATTTAGTTGTTGCACCACATCACCAATCCTAGTTGGTGCTCCCGGCCTACCCAAGTTTTTCTCTGTCTAATAACTATACGTACCTTAAATGATTCTTTATGTCAAATCACTCCTACAGTAACAACTACTATATATATATATGCAAAATTCAAAGATACCCAAATCTCAACAAACATAAAAATTAACGTATTCGTAAAAATAAATGAAAAGAATCAGGTGTGGGAAACGGAGTGTTTTTTTCATATCAGATGATACATACGATGTATAATGCATATCGAGAAGCTAGAGCATAGATCAAAGCTCCAACCAAATACAACACTTACGGTTCATACCAAACCACGTATGTGCGGTAGGTCTGGTACGATATAGAACATGCATACCACATTTAGTGAAAAATGAATTGTTTTTTAGCCAAACACACAAAAAAATCATTAACCGAGAAAAATATGTTTTCCCGTTACAACATAAATTCTAAAACATGCTTAATTTTGATACCATAAATCCAAGTAAATAACAAACCTAAGAGTCAGTGCAACACAACTTGCACCATAACATCATAAACATAAACATAATGCCATATGAATACATGATTCTCTCTACTTTGTGGCGTAATGTGGTTTATAAATGAAGGTGGAGACATGATTCATAAAATTAGGGTTGAGACTTGAATTGATGGTTGAGAAGTTGGGAGAAATGTTGAGTGAGCTGCTAAAACGAATTGGAAGTTGGTTGGGCTCACGGTGTGGTTTGGAAAATCGTGGCACCCTAGACCAGACCAAAAACTCAACTCATCTTATAATACAAATCACGAATCAAATCAAACAATTCTTAACTGTCTACCGTACGAACCAAACTTTATAGTGCGATTTGGTCTATAAATTTTCAAAAGATCTTATCTATTTTCCCAACCCTAGAAATAATATAGCATTAAGCTCTTCGTCATCTTGCCATTATGCATCTATAATATTCACCAATGACTTATCATTATCACTAATACCGAGCTTCCAATTTTCTTGCTACTACATATTACAAATTCCCTTTTTCAATAATTTTGGCTTAGACGTAATGAAATTTTGAGATGTTAGATCCACAATTATTGTTTGAATTTATGGAGCAAGTGTGGGCCTATCTGGATAAAACTTTACCACTCGGTAATGCAATTGCTAGGTCATTTTGTATTATGTTCAGACCATGTATAAGAACTAAAGTCTCTTGACAATGACAGGACTGAAATGTTCAACCATTTTTCTTGACATCAAAACCATCCATTCATACGAATGACGAGTATTATACATCAATGGCATTTCATATTATTTTCACCAAAGGGGTTGAAACTGATCAATTCGCTTGATTCACTTCCAAGTTGGCTCCATGTTCATTCCGCAGGTTGAGGGGGAGTATTAAGGAGTGATGTGGTTAACCTATGTATTAGAGTGATTACTTTGTAATTAATCTTATAATCCAAAGTTAGTCATTGATAATAGGGTAGTTTATATATACCTCATGTAACTGGTCGTTGCTGACGAAGAAATTACTCGATTCTAATAATCCGTGTTAAGAACGGATGAGGATAATTAACAGTTCAAAAAAGTAAAGAACACACAATTCACTAATACAATGTGTGTTAGTTAGTCCACGGACAAGAAAGTGCACCTTCACTATACTTGACGAGATTACACACAATGGATTGAGAAGTATATATATTACTTCTCCCAATGAGCTAAATCCTAATCCAACCCCGTGACAAGCAGTCGACGGCATATAATCTTCAAGACATATCAACAACTCAAATTATTGAGAAAAATTTTAATTTTTTTATCTCTTGCTCATCCCTCAAACGAAAACCTACTTTTTGAGTTTTTACAGTTTGGACAGGTCCAACATACACCTCTTAAGGTTTTCAGATCCGGTCGGTAAAAAAAAAAAAATGCCTTAATCACTATTTCTTTACATCTATCTTAGCGTGATATTGAAATCGAGACTGGGAAAAGAAGAAATTGTGGCACAGCAAAAGTCGTTAGAATAATTAATTGATGCAGAAATTTCCGGCATGCAGACTTAGTGTCATCGACGTACTTGGCTCACAAAATTCAAAGTCTCCGGTCGTTTCACAAAGTCATTATTATAATCAGAAAAGTAAGTGTGATCTGTAATCTGTTCATACTCCGCCAGCCCATATTACGCTGTGTATATATATAGTCGAATATCGATCGGACAACACAAGCATATACAGATATACAGAACCAAATAAATAAATGGGTTATTATGTGAATAATAATTTCTTAGTGCTGCTTAGGGTTTTGCTGATTGTGACGACCGCGGCCCTCCTCCTGGCTTCCCCGTGGGCCGCTGCCACAAGTTCTAATTCCGCCACCATCCGTCCATCTGGTGATAAGAGCCCCCTAGTTGATCCACCCTTTGTTTTGGTTTCTGAATTAGTATATTTATGAAAGCTTGTATATGTGCATGATCTTGATAATATTCATGCCACAGGGGCGGTATATGTTCGCGGTGGTGATCATGGTCATGGCTGCGGAAGTTTTTTCTCTCGTAAGTTAAGCTCCGGGAGATTTAATGAGCCCGACCGCGGCGGATTCAATGAGCCCAACCCGGCCAAGGGTGGCTAGACTTAAATCATATTCATCTCTACTCTACTATTCGGATGGTTCTTCTTTTTGGATGCCTGTAGTAAGGCAGGCTTGCACGTTAATATATGTTCACTAGCGGCCAACTAAATCTGCCTGTGTAAGTTGATTATCATTCCTTATTTTCAACCAAAATTTATGAAATAATAGAAGAGGGAGAAGAGAATTTGGGAACAGAATCTACCGTAAGTCCAGGGAATCGACGTATTTATGTGCTACGCGGTACCTGACATTAAGCGGGGCTAACAGCCGCGGTTCGATCGAGCATGGACAAGAAATTAAGGGATTTACTATAGATTAAGAAGTTATTTGTTGGTAGGGATATCAATAGTGTGACCCTTGGAGTGCTACAAAAGTTTTTTTTTCTCTTCTCTTTTTCCCACTAGTTTGGCAGAGTTTCATTTCCATAGTTGGTTGCGAACAACTGTGTATAAACTGGTTATCCTTAATTCTTTGGTAATACAAGTGTGCTCTTGAAAAAAATAAAAAAATATTTGTTTGAAAATAATCCTAAATATACTAAAATGGTTGTTCCAAAAAATTCTATCAAATACCAAATATAGCTCTCATTTTTGGATTGTAACCCACTTCCTCATACATAAACCTTTCCTTTTAATAAAAAAAATTATTGTATCTTTACATTCTTAATTATCCACACTACCGCTAATCTTGAAGTTGATGTAGCCGCCGCCACCACGTGCAGTTAGTAATAATATTATTTGCATATATTTTCATAAATTGTTTGATGAACTTCAGAAGCGGGAAAATACATGAGCACGGAGGGTGAAGATTTAGAATATATGAACCTGAAGAGTGAAGACTTTTATTTATTGTAAGCTAATTAAGCCCATGTATAACGTAGCTTTTATAACACGACAATTTAGCAAGTAACAAATATTATTACTATGAATTAAGAAGTTATTTGTGGGTGGGGAGAACAATAGTACCCTTGGAGTGGTTAGAAAATTTTTTTCTCCCTTTTCCACTATTAATTTGGTAGAGTTTGATTTCTATATATAGTCGGTTGCGAACAATTGTATAAACTGGTAATCTTTATTTCATTGATAATACAACTGTGCTCTTGACAAAAATAAAATTATTAGCTTGAAAATAATCCTAAATATACTGGAATGGTTTTTCGAAATTTTTCATCAAATTCCAAATATAGCTCATTTTTGGAGTGTATCCCGCTTCATCATGCAAAAACCTTTCCTTTAAGAAAAAAATTGTTGTATATTTACATTCTTAATTATCAACACTACTGCTAGCCTTGAAGCTGGATGATATAGCTGCCAC